AGAACCGAAGATCGTCGCTTTTCTTTTTTTTTTTAAGTGATTTCACATCCAACGTATTTGTTATTAGATAGACACACCTTGCGCATAATAAACACAGCATGTTCTATCTGAATTGGAAAAGCGTATGATGCACTGGATGTGAAATTACTTTAAGATTCAAAACTCTCCAAACTTTCCAAGCGCGCGCGCGTGTATGCGTGTGTGTACGCGCGACCGTCTATGCGTGTGCGAGACTGACTTTCTATATTATATTATATATTACAATATTTATTATATTTATTGTAATTACTATTATTGTAACTATTTAACTCATATATGTTAAAAACAAAGCCCTAAGAAGTCGATAATGACGCGAATGATAGTGTATATCGCTTCAGCAGAGGACACTTTGACTGTGATGAGAACTACACATAAATAATTCAGTCAATTCGACCGAGATCAAACTTTTCCATAAGTTTTGTGCGAAGTCCTTTAATATATATTCTCAGAATATTATTAAATTATATATTTAAATATATACCTTCAAATTTATGTGAAACAATGTGTTTAGAATCCGTGGTCGTTATTACTCTAGTACCACTAACGTTACGCAGAAATAGCATTGACCCTAGCATAGTAACTTGCTTGTTGTCATGTTGATGGCTCAGACACTGAAGAGTCATAGCCATAGATATTGGATTGCCCTTAGTGTCTAACAGTCTCTCTCCATGCCTTGTTGCTAATTTTCCCAATTCTTCTTTCAGGTAAGAATACATTTCCTTACGTTGAGCAATCAATTGTTTGTACCCTGCCATTCCAAGACTCAACAGCGTTATCATCACATCCATAACGGAACTCGCGCTTGCACGTCCTGGATACATTTTCGATATGCGATCTAAGAGATTCTTGTCGAAGGAGCCTATAATGGCACCACCCACCGGAACTAGAAAATTCTTGTCCGTGCTTTGAACGAAAGCGTCTACTCGACCCTTTTTCGATGCTTCTTGTATGAGATGCATACACCTTGTACTCTGCAAGCTTTTAGCAATATAGTGTAATACATTTAGTAAAATTATTTTCAATCGGAATGTACTTCGATATCAAGGGACTAAAAACAACAATAACATTTTGTGATTTTCGAATAAAAATTCTACGTCTGAGCCGAGAGACAGAATGTTGGTTGTTCTAGCGCCAAGGTATCGATCTAAAGATATATATATATATAAAAATAGTGCATCCTTTCACTTACCCGTATGCATTATTTACCAGATGCGGTATGTTATACTGACTGCAGAGGGCCGCGATCGCGTCCACGGAATCGCACGCTCTGGGCGCGAAACAGCTGGTTGTTGTAAGTACGCAGGCAACACTTTCGCCTAAGGCTGACATTTGAGCCTCGAGTCTCTGCATGTCGGTTTTTAATTCGTCTCCTATTATTTGCATCTCAATAACAACAGGTTCTAATCCGGCCGTAATTATAGATTTGAAGCTAGATTTTTGGTCAATTCTAGGCCATAAAACGTATTTCGCGCGTGGTCTGTCTTGCTTAAGCGTTAACATGCATAGAACTAGGCTCATTCCCGTGGCCATTGGTGATAGAAAGCAGCCAGCTATGCTCTTCACTCCTGTGAGCAAAAATATCCTTATTAGATGCTTTTTATACTAATAAAACAAAAAGAATCAGACAAAAAATAAAGAAATAAATTATAGGGCTCATAAATTTTTCTTTGATTAGTCTAATATCAAGATTCATAATCTCTCTATTTTGTCATTTTAAACGAATAATAATTTCTTTTGCGATTATTATATATGACTCTCCAGAGCTAATGGTAGGCGTATTGAACCCACTCAGTTATATCATTTGTCACATCTGCAAATGTGAATTACTATAATTGAAATAAACTTAGTATTCATGCCTTTTTATGAATTACGTCACTTTAATTCTTTAAAATTAAAGCCTTTCAGTCAACATAAATTAAACGAATCTCACAGACCCAGTATCAATAACCATATATTTTTTTATCAATAATTGTATTTTGGCTTCGGAGAGTTAAATATATAAGCGCTCTATGTTAAATATATATATATATATATATCATAACTCCTTACCCATATATCTTATAACTTCAAGCACTAAGGAGTTAGTTAATTTATACATTAAACTGCTACCAGCAGCCTTTGGTTGTACTTCTTCTAGATCGCCAGATCTCCCTATGCCGTGTCCCATGCGAAAGTGTCGTCTCGCAACGAGATTCGAAACGATCCTTGCCTCGCGTTCGCCGACGCTACAATTCGAGGGAAAGTTATTGCTATCCATTTGCGATAGATCTGACAGGAAGGCTTCTATCGTTGCGTCGTCCCAACCCTCTTCTGGCCATTTTCGCTGTTTTTTACATAACATTGCAAGAAGATATGCATTACATAAAATTTGTTTCATGCGAACCCGACAAACACCAATTAACAGCATCAATATTATAATTTCCTATTCAATAAATCCAGATAGCATAATGCTAGTGGTATGCCAATGATCACTTGATGCCAGCTTGATTATGATAAGAAATGATTCTTATCCACTGAGTCCTCTTTAAACTTGGGTTCTATCGTTACCTACAATTTGTCAATTATAATAAAACAGAAATGCAGCAAGAGAGGAGCATAATAATTTCCATTGTGATATATACAAGGTCTACTCATTTTCTGATATATTTCTATCTGAAATAAATGGCAAACTGTGCTTGACTGTTGCTGGAATTCTATAGGATACTTTCCAGTAAGAGACACAGTATAACACAATAAATTATTACATCCTTGCTCAATGTTAAACAAAGATGAAATGTTTCGCTGTACATGTAGAGATGTGTTTAGATTCCCACCTAGGTGCTTTCCAGGTGTCATGTTATCCTTGTCTAACAGTAAACAATAAGGATGGAGTAATACCTAGCTAACATTTAGATAGAAATTACCGCAAGGAAAGTACCTCAGTATAGCACAGTAATTTCATCTTTGTCTAACATTAGATATCTTAGCTTAACACTGGAAAACAATGAAGATGTTATGATTCCCTGTGTTACATTATGTCATCTGTGTCTCTTGCTGGAAAGCACACAGTCTGTAAAAAAACTGGTCCTTGACTGGTTTGGCTATCTGGGAATGCAACTATCATGTACATGTGTTACATTTTATTTTGTTGAGTAGAAAATTATATTAAATATTGATATAACGCTACTGCTAGTTGACGTTCACTGAGAAGCTAGTTTTGTCAAAACTTACATGTTCGATAAAATGCCGTATAAGGTTCTCACGAGACTTCTTGGCATTCAGGCCCTGCTGTACATAGGTCGAAGGTATGAGCCTCTCTGCCAAACTGAACGCTTGATTATTCATTTTCTTGTGTGATGAGTTCCCTCGATTACTTAGTCCACGTACGTCAGTTTCTTAGTGCACCATCGTTTTGATAATCAGCAGAAGATGATTACCATGGGTACCATGTCGCTCTTCTCATTTAGCTACAGAATACGTGTAAATGATAAAAAAAAAATCGATCTTATTCGTTCTTACACTGATACGATCGATTTTGTTTTCAATAATCGAATCTCCAGATACTTTCTAACAATTTAATATATAGGTTGACGTTAGACAAAGCAAATTGCACTTTCCAGCAAGAATTACAAAATCATAACAGCTGAAAGAAAACGCTAGATGACGGAAAAAAAATGTATGTGATTGCAACGCAAAAGATTTTCCTCTTAATACTTACGGAACTCGAGAATCTGTGCAGAATTCGGTGTATGAGGAAAAATGGGATGATATGTGCGAATGTGTGTGTGTGTGTGTGTGTGTGTGTGTAAGAAATGAAAACACAAAACACTGCTTGCGTGGGTGAGAACTAAATTTATTAACTAAAACTCAAAGGTACAGATTACATCCGCATGATAATGATGAACAAGACCAAAAGTACACATAACATAATGAAAGTAAACATCGTCAGGTTATAGCACAAAAAACGCACATATTTCATAGTCGCGGGAGGCGCGGCGCAACAAATGAGAGAGGAACAAATTTGCAACCGACCACGGGACCGTGGGGGTGGTACCGTCCTCGATCGGGATCGTTCAACGCGTCGTAGCGTCGTTTCCGCGAGGCGAAATCTGGCGGGACGACGACAACGATGACGGAAAAACGAGGCGTCGCGGTCGATGGCCGATATGTCAGGACATGACGCGACGGGAAAAACTAGAAAAAGAACGAACGCGCTGCGTCTCCGGTGGCTGATGAAATGAAGGTTATGTGGACGCGCACTATCGGGAGCCTCGTCGGATCGTTTCCGCAAAATTTCATACCCGTTCCAAGACGCAGTGGGCGAGGCGAAGCGAGGACGACGCGACGTGACGCGATACCCAGGGACTCCACTCACTGACGGCGGGGAAAGGGTATAAAACGCTGCCCGAGGAAGCCGCGCGCGAGGATCACCGCGGGTACATGACTCGAGGACGCGCACAATCCGGAGCGTGCGGGGTTGCGATAAAAGTCGAAAGTGGGTTGGGCGAGGCGTCGCGTTAACTTCCTCTCACCAGAGCGCTATCCGCGCACCACCGCCGCGCGACGACGCATCGCTCTCGCGAGAGGAGCGTACCGTGTTCAGGGTGAGAGGTGAGAGCGGCAACGCAGCGAGAGCGAGAGGAGACTGCGTGTCCCTATCGCGTCGGGCTGTTCCTTCTCCCCTTTCCCCTCGTCCCCTCCTGCCTCCCACCTCCTATCGCGTCGTCAGAAGCAATCTCACTGCGACGCGGTGACGGTGTGTGGAGATGAGGTGGGTTCCCCTCCGGTAAAAGATATACCCACCGCGACCGCAAAGACGGGGGATTGACGGGAGATGCGCCGCGGAGACGCGGCGGCGGACGTGAAAACGTAACTCAACGTAACCGCGACGATGACGGTGCGGAGGAGGAGGGCCGGCCGTACGGAGAGCGCAGCGCGCGAGGTCGTCGCCTAAATCGGATTAGTTTTACGCAATACGCGATGACCGATCGCGAGCGACGTAATCGTTTTGACACGTTGACGGCGACGACGAGCTGTCACCTGCACCGCGGCGTTCGTCGCCGACGACGAGGACGACGACGACGACGGCGGCGGCGGCGACGTGTTGGTCACGATGATAAGCGGCGCGTACGCGTGGTGGAGGCTCGCGAGGATCGTTAATAGGCACGGACTTTTATCTCCTTTCTCTTTTCCTCCTACTACTCCTACTACCGCCGCCGCTGCACCGTGGACCTCGGCGCACGGCCGACGACGACGGAGCGACGACGACGCCGGGTCACGCACGACGCCACGGACAGGCTTGGCCGTCGTCGCCGACGGCGAAGGCGGCGGTGTTTCCACGGGTCGCAGCGCGTCGAGCGTTACTCGCGTCATTCGACAGGTGCACCACTTATTGTTTAATTATACTCTGTATCGCTACCACCATCCTCCCCCTTCTTCGTGAAACCTTGATCCGCATCGCGGATCATCTTCCCCGATGATTCCTGTGCATGCCGTCAAATCTGAGGAAGAACTGCCGAAGAGAAGAGACGAGAAGCAACCCTTCTTTTCGTTCCTTTTTTTTTTTGTTTTTAGACCTTTAACACGTGAAACTACATTGACGTTGAAATTATTTTGCGGAAGAGTGCGACTTGGTATATATTCTAGAAGAGAGCATGCAAGGGGAATAATATCTTTTTGGTCTTTATAGCGCGATGCAATTTGTGCAATTTGTGTTTGACAACGTCCGATTGTACGTAGGAGTGACTTCAATAAACTACGATTAACTTAATTGATGATTATGATAGTTCAATTATTGCAATAACGATATCATAACTCAAAAATTGTTTTAAAATATTTTTATTTCTCTATAATCAATTGTTATATCAAAATTGCATTATAAAATTAATATTATAATATTTTAATGATTCAAAACGTTTAAACTCATTTTTTAAAAAAACTGTTTTTTTAATTGTGTTGCAATTGTAACGAATCAGCGATATCTGTATTACGCATTTCATTATTATGGATGGATATCATTTTTGTTGCATTTAACATATGAAAAAAAGATTAAATTATAAATAGTAAATTATAATATAGAATATATTGTACATTAATGTTTGCTTTAAATAATTTTATCAAATTAATAATCTCCGATTAAGTTGATTGCAATCTAAGGCCCAGTTTCATAACTTACGGTTAACTCTTACCGAGTTTCAGCTTATTTTAAATTTTGAAGCTCATCTCTTTCAAATTTTACAATTAGGAAGAGATAAAAAATAAATTAAACCTCGATTAAAAGTTAACCATGAGTTGTAAAACTGGACCTAAATATCTTTAATCCCCATTTCTATCAACATAGATTAACTAATATAAGTTTAATTTATTTTTTGTGTTTTTTCAGTTCTAAGAATTAGATAAAACTATAGAGAGTGAGTTAAACCGAGATAAACTTAATCTACGTTGATAGAAATGGAAGACTTTATTACGAAGATATGAGGCAAGCGCTTTCCAAGAATCGAACCCTGTGTTTTTCCTTTTACATTAATTATTATACTTATTATTAATGATTTATTACATTAATTATGATTATTACATTATATTATTAATGATTTATTTTATATTAATCAACTTTCTTTCCAACTTCGAGAAAAGTTACTGTTAGATGAATAAGAAAGAACAACGTAAATTGGATCGAGTAAAGAGCTTCTAAAGACAATATATACAAGTCATATTACAAAATGCAAATCCAAATTACTATACATGGTATACACATGCGATACTTTTTAAAGTATTGTATACATTCGAAAAAAATACAAACTACGTCTATTGAAACATTGCTGTGTGAACAACGCGCAAAACTTTCATTGAGAAATTATCGTTGTTCCAGAAATATAAACATTTTCTTTGCTTCCTTCTTGATTCCAAAAATGCATTTTTGCATGCTTTACGACTTTCTCTTCTCTGTATTAAGGTCTAAGCTTTTGTCATTTACTCCGATTTTTCTATTACTCCGATTCTGTCATCTATTCTACTCTACTTTGCATTTTCGCGCGCTCGGCAATGCTACCACAATAAGAAATGCATCGTGTCACTGCTAGCCTCGTCACATCCGCAAATACATTTTCCGTTAATTTATTGTTTATTTCGCAACTATTGGAATTGTTGTTTTCTTCGCGCTGATTGAATTATACTTTTAGATGTAGAAAGTATAATTCTGTTTCAACAAAAACTTCCAACAAATGAAAAATAAACCTTCTGCTAAACGCGGCCTTCAATTTATTATGTACACTGCGATAAATTTCTGATTGAATCGATCGTGAAGATGCCCCCACCTCCCTTTTTATTCTCGTCATGTCGATCGGGCGCCGCGCGCGTCGAATTCGTCTTAGGTAGGGATTTTTCACCGCGATCGATTGGCACACTTGCCCGCCGAGGTCGCAGTAGTTCAATGAATTGACCTCAGTATTCCGTGAAGCTGCATCGCGGTAGGGTGCGGTGGGTTGATCGTCGAACTTCGGATGACAGCTCGTAGCGTCGCGAGCGATTTTGTGAGCGGAAATCGTCAGCTTTCGCATCCGTCGTAAAAGTGATAAGAGATACTGTCGACGAGGTACGAGAATAAACGTTCATTTCCGCGCTAACCTTACATTGACAGCTCGAAAACGTTAGGTATCCATAGGGTACCTCCAAGGGACGTCCTACTGACGTTCCCGAAGATATGTCCTATGTAAATTTATAAATGTCCTAAGAACGTTCCCAGAATATCCCCGTATGTTCTGTAAATATTCCTCAGATAAAGTTCGCTATGTGAGTATGTGTGAAAGAGAGTGAGAGAGACAGAGAGAAAGAGAGAGAGAGAGAGAGAGAGAGAGGGAGAGAGAGAGAGAGGGAGAGAGAGACAAAGAGCATGAATAAGTTGTTTACCTCTCTTCCACGCATTTCTCGCATAAAGTGCCGTAGATAATAAATCGAAATCTATGCTGAAATCTAATACTGATCAATTTCGTACTGAAAAACAGAAAAAAAAAACAGCAATTATTTATTATTTATTTTAGGTATTGAAACTCTAGTTCTGTACTTTTAGTATTTTAGAATTTTATTGTTAGAGATTAATACTTTTATTAGTATATTTCAGTAATTAATTACTTATTGAAATACTAAAAGTACTGAACAGCAGTTTTTATGTACTGAATAACAGAGTTTTTAGTACTCTTATAAGTAATTAATTACTGTTTTTTAGTAATAAATTTGATAACAATTAATGTTGGCCAATATTTAACTTCTGTAAGGAAAGTACTCTGACAACAAAAGTCCAGAATCGGGACATAAGACGTCAATATAAAACGTTAAAAAGATATCATTATAAAACGTCTGAAAGACATCTTAAAGATGTCTTTGCGAGAATCGTCTAAAAAAATGTCTTGTGTCCGAATTTTGGACGTTGTATTGTTCGAAGAGAGAACTGGAGTAATATCGGAGCAACGATATTGCTCCAGTTCTCTCTTCGATTCAAGGAATCATGATGATCTTATAATTTCGGTGTGCGAGCGATAACGCTGTCACTGATATCCGCACTGATTGCAGGTTGCGATTCTGGCGGTTAAGTGGTCGATCGAAATCTGCAGCGATCATTTCATTGAGTTAGAATTTTTCGACTCTACACGCGACATCGAGTTCTTTTCATTTACCTGTAACGGAGAGATCGATGATCGTAAATGTAAATCATGAAGAGTTTTCTATGTCCGGAAACCTGGTTCAAGACCGGTTTGCGATATACTTTTATCGTAAGTAGGAAAAGCAATTTGTGTAGTAAATAATACGAATTACTTTTCCTATTCTTACAACAAAAATTTATTACTGGCCACACGACAGAAAAATATTATTCCATTATATTGCTAAAGTGATTATTTAATTTACTTTTTTTTAAATAACAGTTATCTTTAACAAAGAATATTTTCTTGATAATAATCTAAAAGTATACTTGTAACAAATTTTAGAAGAACTCATTATTATGTATTTAAAACAAGAATTAATTTTCTATCGAAGAATATTATAAAAAATATTAAAGGAGCGATTTTATATAATAAGCAAATCGAATTTGTTTTAATTTGATAATCTTAATTTAAGTATCTATATATTAAACTCTCTCTCTCTCTCTCTCTCTCTCTCTCTCTCTCTCTCTCTCTCTCTTTCTCTTTCTTTCTGGAATTCTGAATATATAATATTTTGAATAAATTTGATGCTTGTGATAAACTTATGATAAATTTGTGGATATATGAACTTTTGAAATACTTGCAACAAGTAATTATTATTATTTGCTTACACACACAGTAAAAATATTTTATATTTATCTTGGGAGTAGTCCACTTAAGTTATTAAAATTTTGTGTTGAATTTTGACATATTTGAATATTCATTTAACATAATTATGTTATTTAAATATTTTGTGTTAAATTGATATTTAAAACATTTCTTAGTGTCAAAATGGCACAATTTATGAGTAAGTGGATAAGTAACATAAAAATAAGATGATTTACAATATTAATTCTAAAATAAATGAATAAAATATGTATTAATTTAATGTTTTAAAAATGTTAATTTTACTGAAAAACTGTACTTCCATAATTTGTTTTTTTTTTTTCTTACATAATATCTGTGTTACTTTCTAATATATATTTTTTGTGTCAAATTAACATAAAAATTTGAGTGGATCCCGTTTGGAATATGTGAAATGTGTATGTATTTTTTGTCTGTGTAATACTGAACAATTTATTACTGAAAAACAATAATTAATTACTTATTTGGATCGTAAAATGGGGCTTCGAATAATTAATTACACTGTCCTTCAGTATTAAATGCATCGGTCAGTATCAGATTTCTGTAAGGGTACGTCATAATGTTTGCAAAATGTTTAATCTCTGCAGCGGCAATGCGACAAAACATACCGCGCATCCAAGAAGCAAATAAATATGTAGTCATCATACGGCAATTTCTCTGTTCCTGCGTTTAATAAAACTTGAGTCCTGGAGTCATTCATTACAGTAGAAAATTTTTTTCGTAACATTTCTTTATTGAAAAAATCTTGATACTAATTAAGTTTATTTTATTAAGAGAGTTAAACAATTTTTTATTTTAAACTTTTCTTATTAAGGACTGATTGTTTATTAAGAATTAAATTTGGGAATTTGTATTTATTTTTAAATACGAAAATTAGCTACTTAGGTGATCCATGAACACTAAATGAACATATTTATTTTTAAATACAAATTTATCGAAAATATTTTTCATTCTTAACAGGATAACAAATTTAACATAAATTCATATTGGTAAAATAATTTAATTAGCATCAATATATTATTAATAACCACCCATACATAAATACAGCTTTGGTTAAAAATATAAAGCATCCCTATAAATTGACGATTGCATAACAAAAGTTATATTTATTTTATTATTAATATTTATTTTTATAATAATTTTATTTCGTTAATATTTTTTTGGATTTTATTACTGCTTTTTTCAAGAAAATACACTATAATATGGATGCTTTATACTTATGGCTAAGACTGTACACAAGTACTATAGAAAGATCTCATTAAGCATTGTGTGAATTGCATTCGCAGCTAATCATGGAACTTGAAAATTGCAATGCGCATGAAGATCAGGAGAATACGGGGCCTAATACACCGCAGCACGACAACGATCCGAGTGGTAACAAAAAATGGTACCGACAGGCCAGCCAAAGGTTAGTAAATGCGTTTTATGTACCTGCAGTATATGTACTTATACATGTCTTTGTATCATCCATGCGTCAAGTTCAAAGCTTTTAAAATACGTTTAAGTACATTCATATTACTTTTAGATATTCAGTATTTGAATAACGAATGTAAAATTTACAATCTAGATATCCGCATATTACGATCGAAAGCTATGTCTTTTAGTTTAACGACTGTAAGAATATTCATCATGTATAAAAGTTAAACATAAAATAAAAAGGTGAATAACAAAAGTTACGTACGATATTAAATTAATGAAAAGATTAAATTTATATTTATTATAAATAAAATATAATATAAATTACAAATTACATTTATATTTGTTTAATTACAACAGTGTCATATAAATATTTAAATATTATACATTTCGTCAGGAAATAATGGATATATTTGAATATTTCGGTAGAAAAATATTAGTATATGTAGAAATGTAATTGTCTAAATAAAATGACAAATTACAGCGTATATAATATATAAGAATTTTATTTTCTAGAGTAAAATATTTTTTACTACAAAAAAAAGATAAGAAAGTAGATACAGTATCCGTATTTACATCTCACTTTTATCATAATACACACAAGGTGAATGTATACATTTAGCATACAGCTTACGTTGCATAGTATACTATAAAATCTCAGAATTACATGTGCGCACTTATCGATAAAAGTGAGATATGAATATGGATTTATGTGTACTAAAAGTCAAGTTTAATTGTTCGTTTTAAGTATAGATAGTTAGATATAGTGTTGTCGCAAATATTTGAAATTTTCTAATATATTTATACTTATCTACAGAAAGAACGATTTTTCTGAAGTGTCTAAATATATAAGATATAGATCTAAAAATAATTTTGTTGGGCCATCAAAATAATTATATAAGACACTCTAGCTGGTTGCTAGAATGTTAAAACTTTCTGCAACATTGCTCCTTATATGCTTAAATTTCCTATATAATTATTTCGATGAACAAAATTATTTTCAGATCTGTATCTAGTTGAATTGTTAGATACTTCAGTAAAATTGTTTTTTCTATGTTGATTTTATTGACGAAAGTTAAAGTATATTTCAGATATCAAGCTATTAAAACAAACAGATACTTATCATTGGATGATGCTTCTCAAACAGTCTTAATTTTTATATCAAAATTATTTTTATATCAAATTATATTTTGCGACGATTTTAATCGACGCTCAGAAGAAGTTGGCTTTACATACTGTGCCGAATAAACGAACTTCTGGAATATTTTTGGACCATTAATTTATCTGTCCTAATAGTTGCGACAGCATCCAAAATACCGATGTAACCTACGTATTTTCGAAAACGAATCCATGTGTACTGCACGAAAATAACTCGTTTAAATGATACACTTCGACTGCGATGACTTATTTCGGGAAGCTGCTCGACATCCTCTTCTTCCATGGCTAATGTCATGCAGCGAAATACACACAAATACATCCACAAGAAAAATAATCTCTAAATATCTCAAGAGAGAATATATATACGTAAAATATTTTATAAATAAATATCCATTTGGAGGGAAGGCATGGAAAAGGTTTCTTAACTATAAATTATTTAAAAAAAGAGAAAGGTCATCGATGTTGTAGGTACTAATTTGGTTTAGAAAATATTTTTTAAATAAAAGCTAAAAATAAAACTTTAGAACAACATAAATACAAACTAGAAAGTGTCTGTCAGATAATAAGCAGCCTTTATAATACTGTTTACAATTTTGCAACAGTTAACTTTTTCAAAAGATAAGAAAAAATGAGCATCTAATAAAATGATGTCTAAAACTGACACAGATATTTGCTACATATTCTTTTTTTTCACACGGTTATCTGTAGAAAATACCTCTATACCCTTATTTTATATTTAAATACGGAATACATATATTATAGAAAAAATTAAAAAGAAAAATATAAATAAAACTAATTTAAGAAACTAAAACATATGAAACGATGTAATATTATCAATAATATTGTAATTATTATTTACACTACGCAATTTACAAAAGAAAATTAAAAGAATTTTATTTTTGCATTTGTAGAATTCGTTTTCTTAGCTGATTTTGTATAGAAACAAGCCACGAATGTATGAATTATGAGACTTTACTTTTTTTATTATCTAAATATTTTTTATAATATAAATATTATATTATTTTTACTGTACATTGAGAATGACCCGATCGAAGTCGAAATGTATGTTTATAATAAATTGAATTTATCCGCTAATTTTTTTTTAAATATTGGCTCTTTGCTTTTCTTTATATACATTATTTTATAATATGTTTTTATAAATATTAATAAATTGCGATAATTAATTTTCAAAAAATAAGTGGATATCTTTAGGAGACCTGAGAAGACCTATGTCAGTATCTGCGACTTTCCTCTAGCTAGGTAATAAAAGATGCGCGCGTCATTTGTAGCCTTTTTATACCGAGTCTTCGAAAATAAATTGCCATTAAATTCTCTGTTCAATAAATGATTGTCTAATTTTAAAAAATAATAAAAGCCCAGTATGGAAAAAATTTAATATAGAAAGGAATTTATGCAAAAGAATTTTAAAATAACTCAATATAATTAAAAACTGAACACGATAGCCACGTTATCTCTGCTGAGGGCAGTATCGAGATACGCCACGTTTCGAAAACACACATCCGAATACGTATTCTTTGATACACAGCCAATTTTGAAATATTCATTAGTCTTTTTCAAGGCTGATGATAGTAAAGCACATATTTACGTTACCGCAGAAGCTTTCGCGCGTTTGTTCGTTCTCGCCTTCTGACCCGCTACGACTTCGTGCTCGTAAGAAAACGATGAAAATCGCGGCATATCACGCGAACCGCGATTATTCTTGCCTTCTCAATCGCTGTCGTCATGCAATTGACCCTTGGGACTTGATCCGTAACGTGCTTATCGCCTCGCCGGGCTTTCGTCAGACTGCAAATCGCGTTATTTGTTCACGGTCGAAAATTGTTGTACCAGTTGTTATTCCATCATTACGACTTTGCCGCTTGTTCGGAACGGAAGTCGAGGGTTACAATTAAAAATATTTTCGTGATTGATCTTCGCGACACATTTCGTGTTTTGAAGAGGAAATTAACGATTCACATCGTGATTAATTGGCGCGATGAGTCAGCGAAATGTTGACGTGGTTATTACACCGGCAAGCAACGCTGTTGGTAATTATCTTCTTTTTTTAAAAAAAATGCAATTGTATTGTAAATGTGTCCTCTGAATTTCAGATCGCACAATGATTTATTTAGATGTTAATAAATGGAAAGAACAATTTTGCTAAAGTATCCACAAATTTAGCGAGATGCAGATCTGACAATAATTTTGATCTATCAAACTAATAATATAGAATGCTTAGCCTAGACAACACCGACGTCCATTGGACATTCAAAGGACGTTTAGACGCCCATTGTCCATTGAACGCCCAGTGAATGTCCAAACAACTTCCATGATGTCCTTTAAACATCCAGTGGATGTCGTGTGATGTCTAGGAAGCTAGTTGCTTGAATGTCAAAATTTTTTGCAATATTTTATCATACTTGAGTTTCCTACATAATCATTTTGATAGTTCAATAAATTTATTTTTTAATTTATGTATATCTAGTAAATTCTTAGATAATTCAGCAAAATTGATTTTTTCCGTGTATCTTTCATAATAGGTATCGATGTAATCTTCGTTTATGATGGAAAATTTATCGTGCGATAAGTAATTTTTAAGAAGATACGTATTAAAGAGACAAGCTCGTTAATTATTGGCACGATTATCGATACCATTATATTCTTTTCTATTCTCTAAAAGTGAATCAGTATCATTGTTGAAAAACTATAAATATTCAGTGATGATTATATCAATTATAAGAGTAGTACTAAAGTCACTGATTCACTCTTAGAGTAAATAACTTCTTCGAAGTTGGACTTTTTTGTGTGATGGGTTCAATGCAACGAAACAATCCGCAAAATTTAGTTTAAATATCGAGTAAATGTTAGACAATTTTTTTGTGTGGATTTTTCGCGTCTTCCTTAATTATACATTAAGAAAAAGATATTTCAAAATTTAGTTGTTAAGTTAGATATAATGTTTATTTTACTGAAATAAATCTTTCTTTAAATATTACGAAATAAAATTTCATTTCTAACTGATAAATCATTAATTTTATTATTTTTATTAATAAGAAAGAAAGAATATAATTTTAATTAATAAAAAATAGTTCAGAGAAATTATATTTCGTCTTATTATAATCAAATTTTCTTACAACCAATTAATATCGAAGGAAATGTAATATTTGCTTTTAAATATTTCAACTTTTTTTCTCAGTCTGTGTTTGTGGCCCTGCAACGTAGACTTTACAGCCATAAATTTAACATTGCGTTCTAATTTTATCTCACATTTTGTTCAATTCTATCTCGTATATTTCGTTACTCCTATTATCAAGAATGCCACGTGAAGATGCGAATCGTGAGCTTACTTTTAGGCTTGTTCTTTTTAATTAAACTTCTTGCACAGTGCCTGTTTCCTCTTTCTTTATTATCTCTAACATGGAGAGAAAAGGAGGAAAGATGAACCGTACAAAAAGTTCAGTTAAAGAAAATAGACCTTTTGTTACCGTGGAACCTTGACCCCTTTAATTGCCAACAAAGACGACACGAATTTCACGGTGCAGGACCGAGGGTGCGATTCCCGGACGACTCGAACGTATTCCCCGAGGAATCGATCCATCGTACCATGCTTGGCCTTAACGTAAGACTGACCAGGAACGATCGTAGCGAGCAAGACCTGGACAGCTACAACGAGGGCACGCACGGCGCCCGCAGTGATAAGCGCGAACTGGGGCACAGGTAAATCTTGGATTCTGCACATTAAGCCAAAGAAGGGTGATAGGTCAGAACGTTGTGTTATTAATACGTGATAAGACGGCTTCGAGACAAAGTCGACATGCAAGACAGTTCACTGGC